GGGGGGGGGGGGGGAGAGAGATAAGGAGAAAGAGAGACAAAGACAGAGAGAAACTACATTGCATTAGGCACTAAGAGCCATTCCTCGCTCGCTAAAGGCTAATGCAATTGCCACAATAAGAGTGTCTCAGCGGAGGCTGTAAAAAAACTAGAGAGGGGAATGAAAGAGGAGAGGCAGGGTAGGAGGGAGGGAAGAATGGAGGGAGGGATAGAAAGGAGGGAGGAGGGAGGGTAGAAGGAGAACTGGCAGCTCTGCCTCCAGACTCTCATATGGACAGTGGATCTCTGGGGACAACTGGTTGAAAGTCTCTCTCTGTCTCTACTGTTACTCATGGCTGTGTGTGAGTGGCTGAGTGGGTTGGTCCTCTGCTGTGTCTCCAGAGTGATTTATCAGGTTTGCAGGGAGGAGACAGAGGGAGAGAGGGGGAGACAACTCCAGTAGCAGGGCAGGCGGCAGTTACCAGCCTGCTGGCTGGGTGTGTTAACTCCACATCTGACCTCTATGGGAACAGAGCAGCCTCCACTCCTCTCCTCCCCTCCTGGCAGACTGTGGGAACAAGGGTGACAGATCTTCATTTTACCTCCTCTCTCTCTGCCTCTCGCTGGGCTGTCGAGCTCTGGGAAGCTGCCCTGGACAGTGCAGGACATGACGAGACAGGACAGCTTTGGCAGCGAGACCTCAGCGGGAGACCTGGGCTCTGAGGATTGCACTGCCGACTGATTCTTGGATCTGGAATGGCACAGTTGGCACAGTCAGGCTGTCAGTCAGGCAGCCATGCAGTTGTCTAGTCAGTCATTAGCCAGTCAGATGTTTAGTTAGTCAGCCATTAAATTGGTCAGCGGGGTCTTCCCCATAGGGTCAACTCTTCCACTTTGTGCATATCCTCATCTGAACTCTGAGGTGACTCAGACTTACCGAGTAGCAAAAAAACCGGACCTGTGGGCATGGTGAGTGGCAAACACCCCTCTCTTTTTCTCACATGCTTTTCCAAACACATTTTTTCCCCCTTTTACTGTTTTCTTTATGTGGGTTCAGCATTCCATCTCCAATTTCTTTTTTTTTTTAGTTTTGCTCTGTTGTGTGCCTCTCCCTTTTTTTTCCTTCGGCAGCTCAAAGTCTCAAAGACAACATGAGACTACAGATACGATCAAAGCTTCGGTCTGATGTTATGGAGTTTATGCAGTTGTCATTGGCTAGCTTTGATCTTTTGGTGATGTTACTTGGGAAGACAGCACATCTGTTTGTACGACAAACAAGTAGTTGGTCTTACAGCCATCATTGGCTCACCGAAGATATTTCAACATGGGCGGTTTAATCTTGTTTATGAGGGTCGAATGAAAAATAAAATCTTTATCCACTCAAGGCTACTTTACAGCGTAACATGGTGGATTTAGTTATGCCAAAATCGATAAAAACCTTATAAAAGTTGAATGAACCTGTATTTGATTTTGATCTCTGTGAAAAGGAAAACAGATAATATTTCACACACACACACACACACCTGCATGACTTTTGGCTGCTTTTTCTCAGCAAACTCATGACTGTGGGGAGTTTTTGTAGAACTCCATAATCTCAACACTGTTTGGAAAAGGAGTTTGATGTGATAAACTAACCCTAAAGTCAAGTGCACAGAACATTTTTAGACAAATAGTTCAAATATTTGAGTGTGCTCCAAGGCTTTATCTGGGTCTGCTAAATCACTGGACTTGTTCCCATGTGCTGGTTCTATACTTCTGGATGTACAGTGTTTGTATCAAATGCAGCAGTATAAGTGAGAAAATTATGTTACTGTAATGGTAAAGGATTATATACGGCATTTAGTGATATTTTGATATTAATATGAACAAACTATATGCATCTTTTAGCTTTTTTGCTGGTATATGCTAATTGTTTTGGTTTCCCCTGTCTGCACATAAACTATATGAATGAGTCTCAATAAAACCCTCTGATAAAAACGTAAGCAGCAATTTACACCGAGCAAGCTCAGACTAGTGTATACCACACAGCCAGTGGAAAACGGCATGAGCTGAAGTAAAAGACTGGCTGATTTATCTCGATAACGAGCCAGATAATTCTTCTGCAGGAGTTGGTCAACCAAACCAAAGCTAACATGCACACAATGAACGCAGCGAATGAATCAGTCCCTTCAGGACTTCTCAGGCTGATTTCACGGCAGTTTTTCTAAGAAAAAAAAAATTGCAATGCATGTTGCGATGGTTTTAGTCTTTTTGTACAATGAAACTTCAAACATTGTTAACAAATTCTTCCGGTGAAAATAAAATTAGTAGTTTGGTTCAACGTTATGTGCGAGTAACTGTTATGAAAAAAAAGTCAGTTGCTGCAGTTATTGGACAAAATTGCAAAGTCATGCAGAATTAACAGGGATTGGGTGAATGTTAATTGTTGCGATCACAAAACTCAAAATTGTCAGGTGAGCAGAAATAAGACTCCAATGGGATAGCCATGTTGCTCTATATCTGCTAAATGTTTAAGAAGGTAATTATTTGCTATAGTAAAGTAAATTTTTATTTTTTCGGGAGTCATTCTGCCCCCTAGTGGTCAAATATCATATAATTCAGCTTTAAATCTATACTCTACTTCGGAATAGGCCAAACACTGCGGCAGATGTTGACATGGGCGTTGTCTTGAGAACAATGAACAGATGTTTGTTATTTGGGTTCGGCAGCTAATTTCACTGTCATCGATAAGAATTTATGTGTGTGTGAGCACATGTGGTCTGTGTTCTCCAGCAAGAGGTGCACCTGTGTGAGTCTACAGTAGTTTGTTGTGTGTCTGTGTGTGTGTGTGTGTGTGTGTGTTGGTGTCCTGTGTGCAGCCACATGGCTTTCTCTTCTCTCATGGTTTCCCTGCACTTTGTGTGTTCACTGGTTCCTCTCAGATCAACTGCAGAGTGTTTAAGTGCGCAGGACAGCATGGTTTCCCTCAGCTCTTTCAGCCCGGCCATGCGTCTACCACAGAGAATTTCTGTCTGAGCCGAGGCAATTACAGCACACATCCAAAGCTATCTTAGCCAGGAACCAAATGAAGGAGCCTTTGATAGGCCCCGACTGATGCATATTTACTTTTTACGACCAACCAAGTAGTAAACAGCTTGCCTTGTTGGCGCTGGAGCAAGTCTTTAAATACAGGCCTGTTCACACACAAACATACATATAAACACACACACACATAGACAAAGACTTTTCAAGAAATCAAGAGAAAAGTATATATCATCTATTTTCTGCCAATATGCTACAGAAATATTCACGACTAAGGGACACTGCCAGCTTGATTTGTTTGCCAGTCACTGATTTCATAATTGGGTTTGTCGAGCTATGCCTGGCAGTTTTTTTTTTTTTGCGGAGCTGCAGACACAGCAGCAGCAGCAGCAGCAGTAGCCTCCAATTGAAGCCATGTGTGGTGGAAAAACAGGCCTCAGTTTGTGGAGAGATTGCATGCTTGGAGTGGGAGGGAGCCTGCCGGTTACAGAGGTCACAATCCGAACACGCCAACTCCTCTTGGCCTTCTCACACGCCATGCTGACGGATGCGTCTCAATAGTCAGGCAGGAATCCCTCCCAAACCCTCCCTACCTTTGTTGGAATTAAATAAAACGTACAGATTCTGCTGCACCTCTCACCTGTTGCTTGTGCATTTTAAAAAAAAACTTTTATCTGACAAGTTTTGGAATAATGCAGATCAAATAAGGACAAGAAGAAAAGGACTCCTAGTGAGCTTTTGTTCTTATAGGTGGTGTCTGAAACTGCGAGAACGCTGTGTTCAGGGTGTGCCACAAATGAAAAAAAGCAGTTGGTTTAGTTGAGTCTGGTATGAGACTTTATTAGAGTTAGCTCTACTAATAGCAGCACTGGTTCGTCCTCAGATGAACCTAGCAGTCTGATGTTGTTGTGTCTGAGTTTATTTCATCCACTGCTACGTCACTTGAGCATACTTTCACTCACATATACTGCCTGTGTATAATCTCTTCCATCTTTTCATACTTTTGCCATCTTTTGTGCTTCACTCTCTCTTTTCTTTTCTCTCTCGGTACTACACCTCCCTCTATTCTCAGGTTCCCTCTGAGAGTCTTTCCCTTCTAGTCAAAATGTTATCAGCGCAGCCATAGCTATTAGCTAATAGCTGCGATAGCTACTACTATCAGATTCAGAGATAGCCTATGCCGGGCTTTAATGCAGCTGTGCCATTTCCCCTCATGCATTATAATGGATCATGTTCCTGTCAGCGCAGAGGGCCGGATCACTTTTTCACTTCTCCATTGTTCCTATAAGGGGGGAGTCAGTGCCTCTATAAGGATAACATTCAAATGATTAAGCATGAAGTACTTTTTGAATAAAATCTGTTTAGTCTCATATGTCTAAGAAAAGGTTGGTAATGATTGATTCAGCATGAAATTACATCCCCACCAAATTGCATTAACGCTATGCAAAGTGGATTATTGTTAATGGGACATGAGAAAAAGCTGCTGCTTGATGCCTGCTCCCTTCATCAGTCACGTGAGGGCTGGTTTATCAGGACTGAGTGAGCTAAATAATGAAGCTCAGTCCCAACAAGCACTGATAATGACTTTTTAATGCTCATGGGCTCTTTTGTTACTACAGAGGTGTGATTGGTTGAGACTGGGGTCTCGTGTTTTATCTCTCTGATCAATTCCCTGTGTCTGAAACACGAGTATAGAACACTTCCGCTATTTCTTTTTGATCAGAGGATTTTCTTGACGCAAACGGGTTCATATGATGTGTCTGTGTTCACATCTGATAGCAAATGTGTTTATAGTTGTTCTGAACGGACAAACTCAAAAAGCCTGTTGCCACAGAGAGGGGCGAGACGTCATAATTGTTTAAGTGCACACTTTCGGTCTCGTCTCGTCACGCTTGGTGTCATTTGTACAAATCTGACAGAAGTTGTGTGAAGAATAGTATAGCTAACTAGCAACGAATGCACAAGCTGTAACTCCACTACTTTCTGTTATTTCCCTCCGGTCACTCACATTTTTCCTCCATCATTCTGAAGCAGATTCATTCAGGATGATCCCCGGGATGAGCGAAAATTTTTCACTTAAGTTGAAACATTTTCAACTCACCACTTGTATCTTTGCACTCCAAGGCAAAAATCACACCCACTCATGTCTTTCCACTAACTTTAGCAATCGCGCCACTTCTAAAATTCACACAATTAGAGAGTCTTGCCTGCTTTCTCACCTCTGCACCTCAACACTCACTGTATGAGTGGAGTGGCAGTTGTCTGAGGGGCAGCATGCAGAAACCTGTCATGCATTTATAGTGAAACAGCTTAGTCAGGGTTAGGATTAGAACCCTAGAGAGCACTTTGTCATGTTTTATCTACCACAGGAGCATCCAATAGGGCATTTTTTTCTCACAACATAGGGGCATGGGGCGGCAGTCCACCAGTGTGGGAGCGCTTGTTGGATTGTCGTGCCGGACAGTTACAGAAATTATCGGCTGCAGCCCCAGAGACATCAGAATGTTATGGCAGGAGTGGGTTTTTAGATGCTGTTTGACAGTCTGACAAGTACTTACGGTAGTTTGAACCATACCGACCCCTGGTGAGGTGGGGTCAAGTGGCATTCGAGCTCCTGGTTTGGTCTCGTATTTGACAACCTGGGAATGAGACTCAACAATCAACTATCTTTCACCAGAATGACTGACCCCTTTAAGGCGAGGATATATACAAACAAAAAGTGATTGTCTAAAAATGACATACCTGTCAAGCGACTGAAGTGAAAAAAGACGGGAAAAGGGAAGGGAGGAAGGGAAAAGACAGACGAGGGGAGGGTATTTCAGACACTGTTGATGATCCTATGAGCACTTTATTACACACTAACGCCTTTAGAGTCTGCTTGAAAGGTTTGACAGTTCGAAGCCGCTCCCGCTGTCTCTAAAACAGCTTCATATTTCTTATTTTAAGAGCTTTGCACACTTTACAGACTAGACAATATGGCATCCATAAACCAAGGCTTTTCTAATGCAATTATTGCTCTCTTTCTCATACGCACACATTTTCACATACTTACATTTTTCCCCGTGTCTTGTTTCTCCCTTTCCCTCTCAACACTTAGCCTGTGTTTTGTGAGAGCAGTGTGACAAATCACAGTGGCACCGATGTGTGAGATGCAGGGTGACGTCAGCGCTGCACGGCTGCGTGCAGATGTGACTCTGAGCCCGCGGTCACCACCACATATATCACAACATCTCCTGTGTAAACACACTGCCAAATGCCAAGAGCAGAATTATATGAGAAAATGCTTTACAGCAAATGGTGTGGCTTTGGCACCTTTGAAAGAAAATGTACGGAGAAACAGCCATTGCAACACAAAAAGTTAGCTATTTTGGGATATTTATGTGTTCATGTTCATGTTCATGTTACTGTTAATTCTGAGATGTTGAACAGACGGCCTCTCGTTTTTTAGGTTACCGAATGCCACTTGAGCTCGGTATTATTTCCACTCTCCTTCGGCCTTTTGCCCAACAAGCAGTTCCTCCAGGCTGCGTGAATGAGGTCATTTTGTTCGGCTGAGAGTGCAAACATTGCACTTTCTAAATGTGGTGACTTGTTCACACCTTCAGCCTCGTGTACAATAATAAGTTCCATCAGGCTGTAAATTATGTTTATTTGGACTCACACACAAACTGTAGGAATGACATTACGCTTTCACAAACCACAAACAAATCACAGTGAGGGTCATGTTTTGTTGCCATGGACATATGGAAATCATGCCAAACTGAACACTGAAGAATATCAGTCTTATCCTGATACAATTTTTTTATTCCTCATTCTGCAGTGGATTATTTTAGAGCTGAAACAATTTGTTTATTGACATTAATTAAATTAATCTGCAACTATTTTCATAACCGATTAAAGCAAAAATGCCAAACATTTGCTTCTTCCAGCATCTCAAATAGGAGGACTTGCTGGTTCTTTGTCGTATTTGATAATAAAATAAATAACTTAATACATTTGAATACTCAATGTTTGGCTCTGTGGAATTATAATGGGCATGTATTTCTATTTTCTAAAAGTTTTATAAGCAAACCAATAGATCAATTCATTGAAAATATAATCTAAAGATTACTTGATGGTCAAAATGATTACTTGTTGCAGTCTGAATTTACTGTAGGTGTGTTTCATTCCCTCTGTATACCACCCTGTAATTCACTCTGCTTGCCAAAAACATGTCACATCATCACGCCATTGATTCAAACCTGACAATAATCTCACCAATCAATTATTTCCCATATCGGGTTCACACACCCAGTAAACAAACACTGACTCACAGGGCATGACCACTCCCTTTGATTCCCTCACACTGTCACCATTTTGTTCTTTTCTTTTACGCTCCAACTCAAGCATGCAACCGAACAACACACACACCAACGTGGATACACACATTCAGGCAGTCCCTCATTCCACTTTCCTACAACTGTTCAGTGAAGCACAACTTCACATCTCACAACCTAGACAAACATATTTATTCATGATTCCTGTGCAGGGAGGGGTGGACTGTTAACACTGGTTGACAGGACAGACATATTTCTCTGTCTGGAAGGATTCTACACGCCTTTGTTAGTGTACTGTGGCTCTGCACATAAACACCAGGCACCCAGTTCCTTTATAAAAAATGATGCACAGATGCCATTGAGAGGCTGTCAGTGAACATCGTAATGTTTTTATGTACTTGCAAGTGTAGACAAGAGTAGAGCTTTGACTTCTAAAGACAGGTCTTGTGAATTTTCTTTGTAATTATTGTAATTATTTGTAAGATTTCAAAATGCACTGATGATAGTGCTTTCAAGTGGGATCTGTACTGCAGCATTGATTACAGACAAATCTCTTAAATCCAGTGGTGTAGTAGTGCCCGGAGAGGTAGGTATAATAATCTTAATCTATGCCTCCCAGTTTTTTTTAAAGCAGCATGTAAGCGGCATGCTGACATATAAGACTACTCTTGCATATTCTCACCCAAAAATGGAGCACTAGAAGTTGCACATTGTCCCTTAAATTCTTTTGCTTGACTTCAGGGAATAAGGATCATTATGAAATTCACACCAGACACAGAAGAGGTGCAGATTTTGCAATCAATTCTGGCCCGCAGACGGGTGACATAACTACATAATTATGTGTTTTGAGTCAAGTATTCCTTACTCCATCCTCTCATGAAAATTGGACTGAACTATGTCATGCATTTGCTGTCCCAAAAAAAAATTTGCCTTTCAAAACACTACTGAATGATGCTTTAGAGGGGAATTAGATCTCACTGTAATCTGTTAATCATTGGCACTATAATTGACAAAAAAAAGCACAATTAGTTCATTTTATTGAAATCCACATACATTTGCTTTGCAGCAGAGCGATGAGAAGACCAATACCAATTTCATGTTTGTGTCTTAGCTTAGCACCAAGACTGGAAACAGGTGAAAAAGCTTGCCTGGCTCTGTCTAAATGCAACAAAATCCGACTATCATCATCATTTGCATAGAAAAAGTGTAAAAATTACAATTCCGTGTTTTACAGGGGGTTATGTGCTAGCCTGTTGTATTTCTTGGCTTTGAGTAGATAACCAGAGTTCAAAAAGAAAAGAAAACAGTTATAAGTAGCATGAGAACAGATTTTAATACTTAGCTATTTTAATAGGTTTGAATACATCCTGTTATTCCAAAAAATAACCCCAACCTGATCTGGATTTCCCTCTTGTCACTTTGACTCTTAATGCAAGTTTGAGGAGATGCTGTACAATGTATGAAAAGATCAAGTGATGAAGTGATCAAAGAGAGACTGTTGAGACTCAGCCCTAACCTCCTCCTCACCGCTCAACAATCCTGTCATTATTCCTTCCCCACCAGGGTGGGCCGGGAATTTTCCCCTGCAAAACAGCATAAACAACAACAACAAAAGATAATAATACACGGTGAAGTTCCAATTTTTCAAGACGGAAGTTGTAAAAAGAGCTTGAGTTTGTTTTTTCTATGTCTCCCCTTGTGGACCCACCCAGCAACGTCATGCCATCTACAATGGGAAAACAAATCACACTGACTGCTCTGACCTGAATCCCCCTTGTTTAATGGGAACCAAAACCACAACAGAACCATGTACATTTGTCATAGTTTGCTTATTATTTGCAAAATCAAGACACAGATCCACTAATGGTGCCTGTTCTCCTCGACTGACATTTTATAATGGGAGTATTGATAGCCAGGCAGTTTGCATTGCCCTCGCCATTTCAAACAAGCCCTGTTTTCTTTTTGCTCCTGAGCTGCTTTAAACAAACTGACCAGGTAGCTGGCTCTGCATGTTCCAACTAGACTCCACATCTGCTGCATCCTGCTGATCTGTGCAACAGAGAAAGTCTGCAGAATCATTCTTCACGTCTCACAAATTTAATATTTCTTTTGTACAGATAAGCTGTATCATCTTTCATCCCAGGGTTACAGGAGCGGTGCGAAGTGCGTCGTAGATTATCATCACATCAAGTTCAAGGTCTAATGTAAAGGTTTTGCTTAGACTCTCTGATGAGTAATGTACCCTACATCTCTCTTTTCCTCTTTGTTTCAGGTCACAGGTGCTCCACAGCTGCTGTGGACGAAGACATCTGGAGCGCAGGAGGATGTTGGAGAAAATACAGAGGGCAGGGAAGGGCAGAGAGGTTTCAGGGTGGATCCAGCCTGTGCCCCTGGCTGTGGTGGGGAGGGTTCCTGGCACCGTGATTTGATGCACAAAGAGAAACAAAAATCACATTGCCAGGGATTTCCACTCTTTCACAGCTCAGCAGGTGACCGTGTTATATTTCCACACTGGGATGCTTTTGTTCTTGGCCGTTCTGTTTGTTCAGTTATGATCTGAGACTGGATGTTGCTATGGAGTCAAAGGAATAAATATTGGAGAGGTTAGACAGATATTGTGATCAACTCTCTCAATGGACTTCAAGAAGTCAACTTGTGGTTTCTCACACAGAAAAAAGTACACGTGTCTAAATGCATTTAAGGCTGCAGTTAAATGTTCAGCTGTCTTCACTGCTCTCCCCTTTCAAATCAGCCAGGAAGTCGATGTAAATGTATACGAGATAGAACGCATTTTTTTGAGGCAGATCATATTTCGGCTCTTGGAACTTAGATTTATAAACAAGTAGCGATTTTGATGTTAAGGATCCTCTATTGGCAGCATACTCTGAATGAGCCCGGTTGAAGGCAAAGCAAACCTCTGCATCATAAGCATTGCTTGGCTCTGAAAGCCGGCACACTTTACCACTGAGCAGTCACGTAAAGGTCTGCGTGAGTCTCTGTTCCCTCAAAAGCCAGCCACCCACTTGCTAAAGGCACAGAGCTTAGCTAATTGGTGAGCATTGATCCCTGCTATGTGTTGTTCACAGTGGCTAAGTTCAGTGCCTGAGGTGAAATAGTTGATTCGACGGAGGGGATTTGTTCCGGTGAATGGAAAGAACTTGATGATCTCGGATATGAAGAAAGGAGGAGGGAGGAGGAGAGGAGTGACAAGAGATTAGGTGGAGAGGGAGGGAGGTGGGAAGACACAAAAGGCTAAAGGTCCCACGTAGGAGCTACGTCGGGTTAAATGTGTTGCCATGGACCAAATGCAGGTCTTGGTTGTGCAATGGCCAGTCCAGGCATGAGACAAGCTGCACCATTTTTTTAATTGTGCTTGCCTGAAGCAATAACTGTCTTATTTCACCTTGTCTCTCTGGCAAGAACCATCATGCATACCAAATATATTTAAAAGCGCTTCAGTGAGACAGTTTGACCCAGGTTTAATGTGGACTTAAAAATGCCACAGGTTGTATTGCGATTTTAGGAATGTGGTGCTAAATGTCAGACCCGTCTGGGCATGCCCAGTTCATGTCCAACTGAGTTTGCTCAGGACTAGTGTGCCACACAGCAGCCTGGACTGTGTTGGAGAGGAAACCACGTAGTTGGCCGTCTGATAAACCGCTCCTCATAGCTAAGCAACTAGTAAAAGAGGGAGATTTTGTCTTTTTATGGCTTTTTTTAAACCAAAAAGTGTGCAAAACAAAGTGTATGAAATAGATTATACTGTGTGTATAATGCACACTACATGCTTATATCTACAGTATTTGGCTAAGGAGTGTATTATTGACAGCATTAGTCTTTGGAGTCACAAGGTTATTTAAAAAAAAAAAAACTGTTCAGAACTAGCTGTGTATTATTTCTTCACTGTGTGTAAGCTAATATTAGCCGCTCTGTCCTGCTCTTTATTAGATTAGTTACACTCCAGCAACACAAATTAATGTTAACATTACATTACAAACGCATTAGTTCGTCCTCTTAGTCCTCACCATAAAACCCTTTTCTCTTGAAATGTTATAAATAAAATCATGGTGGTTGAAACTACCAACAAATTTGTATGCTAAACAGCCAATGTTAAAGCATAATAATTTAATTTTTTATTAAAATATTAGGACTAACTAAGCTAGCATTACGAGATCATTCCCACTTCTCTGTCTGTTTTTCTGCCTTCTTTATAGATCACCAACTGCTGAAGATGCTGACCGTCTGCCTGACCTCAGTTTTTTAGCACAATATATCTTACTTTGTTAATTTGTGTACTATTGTCTGAAACTGAGGACAAATTATTAAGACTTTTGAGCTGTAATTCTGCCAGTATTATCGCTGTAAACAGTATGCGTGCCATGCAAGCACAGAAAGCTTTACAGGCGTAGCAGCTGCTGGGCTTAGGGAACAGTAAATACACTGCATGTTGCATGTCATATTACCCTTTTTGTTGGGATTTAAAAAAAAAAAATCCTTCTGTATCTGTGTTGTCAAACAGAGCGAGGGCTGTGCCCTCCCGTGCCTACTGAACTGGTATCAGTGTTTTACCTGAAAACTGGCTCAGTTCAGCAGGAACAGGAGTGGAGCCCACTAACTAGCAGCATCTATGTCCCGCGTTACCTCATCACCTTCCACTGAACGTGCAGCAAGGCTGCCCAGATTCAACACACCCACCACAGAGCGGTGTAGGGCGTTAGCGTCGAGGCATTGGCCCTGATGAAAATCAAACCCGAGCCCTCAACCTGTCAGACGATGGCACTGAACCCTGAACTGTATGCAAGGCAGTGCAGCTCCAGTAAGATGACTGTCCCTTTCTTTGCTAAAATATGAATGTTTCATAAGCAGATTTACCATTTTTTGCTTGATAGGTAGGCCCTGGCATCCTGAGCCGTTGGGTGAATATTGTTACATACTGATGCAGTCGATCTTGTTGTTCTGCTCAGCCTTCATGTTTATTTCAGCATTGTTCCCTCGTCAAAAAGCTGCAAACATGTCTTTCACTCTTTGCCTATGTTTCTCTCTCTTTCTCTCTCTTTCTCTCTTTTCGGTCTTTCTGTGCTGTCAAAGGCCAGACTGAGACTGGAGTTCATTGTCAGGTAATCCCAGTGAAATGTCTGCTATGCATATATAATTGATGTCACCCAGCAGTCCCCATTATCAGTGATTGGGAATGTGTGCAATGTGGCTTCTTCCCCGCTCTCCATTTAACTCGCAGCCACCAAAGAAAAAGTGCTTAATCTTAAGGATTTCATACCCACAGGAAAATGGAAGCTCATTAGCAAGCATGATGAATCTGCTCTTACCCAGAAACTCTACTGATCGTGGTTGGCAACATACAATTATATTTCTGATTTTTGTGAATTTAAATGTTCCACTCGGACCTTGAGAAGATTACTCAAAGAAAGGTTAAAAAATCTGTGTTTTTATCGTGTCAGTGGTGTGATATTGACTTCAGGGCATTGTTTCAGCCAAGCGCTACCACCAACAGGTTAGCAATGATTTGCGTAAGCGTTTATTCTAACTGAATGTGGAAGACACCGGTGCATGAAGTGCATTATTATAAATGTCAGTGATTTTCTAACTACTTTCAACCATTTGAAGTATGACTTGTTTTTATGTTACAGGCGCAAACAGTGTTTCATTTCATTACAAATTCAGCCACATTGTAATGTAATAAAGTTCAAATGAACCTGAGAAAGTATTCTAGCATTGTTTTTCATTCAAGATAATATCATTTATCCCTAGAAGGGAAACGTGTTGCAGCAGGAAAGAACAAAGGTGGAGACAAAATAAAGAGGTAATCAAAGAGGTGTGACGTTCCGAAAGGTTTAAATGAAAATAACTAAAAAATAATGTGAGAAATTATGAGGTTGTCAGCTTTGACCCTGATGCTTCAGGAAACAAGCGGTGGGGTAAACTCCCTTTCTGCGTGAATCCACACCTACAGATTTGTTTCATTTTGAAATTGACCTGTCTTCAGCCGCAACTGATGCTGACTCAAGTGATATCACTTGAGGCGATGTTTCAGACTTTGCCACAAAAGGCTTTATACAACTTTTTTCACTTGCAGTTCCTTCAGACCTAAAAACAGACTTTGTAAAATTGATGCAGTGCCTTTTAAATGATTAAATATTTGTTTATGGGTTGAGAAGAAATTCTAATTCTTGTTAATTAGGTGAAATAAACCACTGAAAGACCCGTTGGATTGTCTGAAAATGCTAAAAAGACTTTTTAGCTCATGAAATGCTGACATTTTGGTGATTCACGGTTCACAGACCTTTATATTCAGGAAATAAGATTTGCAGACATTCCTGACAGCTTACTCAATAAATTAAAGTTATTTTTGAAATCCAAATAATAAAAAGTTAACCATTCACAGTATTCTGTCTGGTCAAACCTTTCTGTGGGAGATGACTTGGACTCAGTGATCTCAGTGTTTCTAAAATCCAGTGCATTGCTTATTGTCAGTGTTTCCAGCAAAAGGTCAGGTTCAACTTTCTATTTGAGTCACACTTGTTACACCCAGTTTCAGACTGCCTTTTTTTTTTTATACATCAAAATCAAAAGAATGACACTACATATTCTTGAGCACTCATGAAAACAGACACACACATCCACACAGCCAGAGACGGGCACCCAGACCAAAGCCTCCAGCTCTCCTTTTAGTCTCCATAGCAATGTCAATATCCCTTTTATCTTCAGGCCTCAAAGGCTGACCAGATTTCATGATGTGGCTGCTTTATTGAGCCTGATCTGCTTCGGTCGCCCCCTCCGCCATTCAATCAGCATCCGTGCGGTTCTGGCCTATGGCTGTGAGCTTGGCTGCGTAATTTGGTTTAGAGCTGAGCGGGAACATCTGTTCTACAAAGCTTCAGCTCCTTCCATTCCTCAGGCCTCATGGAAAAAACCAGGGCCAGCGGTGGGGCCGCTGCTGCAGTACGGGACCTCCAAACCTGCAAGTCCCAAGCTCGAGTCCAAATCCTCTCAAGAATATGGATGAGAGAAGAAGAATGACAGGTCTTTGAAATGCAAGGTCCAAATGTGTGAGGTCATGTAGGATTTATAGTCTGACTGACAGTGACTAAGAATATACTTTATTGATTTCATATGTACAGTAGGAGGTTTAAAACTTTGAGACAAAGTGTTTCATTCAGTTGGATGACTGATATGTTGGATGATTTATTATGTAGTTACAGAGTGTGTACAGTTGTGACATTAATATCTCCAGTGTTTCAGTGTTATTAGCATTATTCAGTCAGAGATCTGAGGCCACAGTTAAACATATTTTGTGCTTGAGCCAGAATCTACATAAAGCTGGTTTTATGAAACACTGTATGGAGCTGGTTTCTAAAATCTTATTTGAATATTTTCAAAAAACAGTTGCAAGCCCTGTCAACATTTTGAGAAACATGCTTATTAGTTAGATGACAGGACTGATATCACCCTCATATCTATTCCTCAAAACCAAGCTGGAGCCAGGAGATTTAGCTTTACTTAGCATGATGCATGGAAACAAGATGCCTAAAGCTCATTAAGTAACATGTTCCTACAACTCGCTTGTTAAATATGTACAAAAAAAACTAAATGTAAAAATGACTCGGTACAAATATCAACCAATCAGCCTCAGCTGTACTCTATAGGTACTGATAATTAGCAAACGTTAGCATGCTAACACACTGAACTAAGAGGGCAAACATCAGCATGTTAACATTGTCATTGTGCGCATGTTAGCATGCTCGTGTTAGCATTTAGCTGTTCCTAAATACAGTCTCAGAGAGCCTCTAGCACCTCTGCAGAGCCCCTCTTTAAGAAAACACTCATCGTCCCTTAAGAAACCTTTGGAAACTGAAGCCGAATCATCACCCTTGGAACATCTTTCACAACACAATTAGTTAAGTGGTCACAGTGCTCAGCCAAAGCACAGCAAGAATGAGAGAGGGGATTAAGAAAAGAGAGAAAACATGCTCACATAGTATATTCCCAAGGTTGAGAGCAAAGTCACTGTAGATGGCCGACATCCAGCCCTCAAGAGAAAACTTGTGTTGTCTTTGGTAATTGTCTTCCACACTCACAATGGAAGAGGAATTAAAATGCACTTTAGCGTGCTCGTGGCAGTTTTTCATCTAGTTGGAACATGCTATTTATTTATTTTATAATTAACAGTTGATAACAGAACTTGTGTTGACACACGTCTGCCTCCATCGTTTTACTCCTCATAACTTCTGGCCTGCTCTCCTGTGTATCCGCTGTCCCACTATCTAGAATCTGATAAAGAGGAAACAGCTGCGTCCAGAGATGGTGCAGATTTTAAGTGCCCTTCCTCGTCTACACTGGCATCTCCAGAAGAGACTCCTCTGAGCTATTTTTCTGTTAAGATGCAGAAGGAAAAAAATGCAGAACGAAGACAACGTGGCAGCGCATTCCCCTTTAATTAAGAAACAACTGAACAGAATTCTTCTTGCCCTCTCATCCTTCCTCATTCCTCTTGAGCTGATCTCTTCCTACTGTGTTTCTTCCATTTAGAGAACCACTGTGTGTACAGGGAATAACAGACATATTTAGTATGTGTTTATGCACAACTGTAGAGACATGCATCACCATGAATAAAACACTAAATAAATCCAGACCCACTAACGTAAGAGAAGAAGAGGACATTGTTCTCCGGCTTCCTCAGACCTGATTCCTCACTCAGGTGCAGTCGATAGAAACAGACACGTGAAGGAGAAAAAGGTTCTTTTATGCTGAATGTTTGTTCGTGTGGACATGCAGCGAGTACGCCCTTCCTGGTCTTTTGTTCTCCCTGTTGCAAGAGCATGATGTCAGCTGCCCAAAGGAATGGCAAACACATTGATTGATTGGATATAATTGTAACCACAAAACTGGATATTTGCACAGCCATTATTGATGTCTGACTGTGAAAATGGGACGTTGTAAAGTTGCCAAATAAGCTGGATGTTTTCTCTGGGAGTTTTTCTCAGGGAGCGAGTCTGCCGGGTTAAATAAAGGGAGAGTTTCCTGATGCTGCCAGTTTATGAAATCATGTGTGTGAATGAGAAAGGCCAGATAACGAGTGCCTCACCCAACGGACACCTGGCTGTCACTATCTGCTTCATATCACTGTGGGAACACGTTTACACACTCATGCACACTTACATTGACACATGGTTAGGTATGCACACATAAAACATAAACACATGCACTTTGCACACATGTTCGCTTAAACACACTCAAACAAAGCTCTCTAGATGTCCAGTATTTGAATTTTTTTTATTTTTGTTACATTAAAGTCATTGTTGTGCAGTCATTTTGCAAAAACGTATGTTCCCATTATAGTATCCATTAAACAGTTGGATTTATTTCATTATTAGCTGTTTAAATGAACTGCAAAGCTTATCATGTAAGAAAAACAACAATGCAGTTAAAACCTTCTCCGACTGGATTATTTCTCATATTCTGACATATTTTTCCTCCACTTTTATGTGAGCTGTAGAAGAAAACAGAACAAGATGTCACAGGCTCTCTCTTTTACAGTTTTCCATTCCCATGTGATCTCCGTGTATGCGTGACAACAAGAGAGGAATGATAATCTATCCGAGTCAATACATTCCTGTAATTTTCAGACATTTACTACATTGTGGGTGTGTTTCTTTTTTCTTTACCTCAGCCCATACGTGTTCTGTCAGTGCAGTGAGCTGTGTGCCTAAGTTCTCTGATCTTGTATCACTGCTTATACACACTATGCTCATAGCTTCTCTTTGGCTACTGTGTGGATTGAAGAGTCAAAGAGTATTGTTCCATTACTGGCCTGTGCACACTAGTAAAGTCATATCTCTGCAGCTGCAAGGTTTTCTCATAATAGACTCATGTGGTTCGTGATCACTCTTTCCATAACGACTTAACAGCCATCGACACAATGCTGGAAACATTTGTGTCCAAACAAAACACCGTATAGTTTTTTTCAGTGAGTGACCAAGATGCTTAGCCAACAGACTTTTAGTAAAACTGTGCTTAGTCTATATTTTGATGCATCCTGCAGTCTGAGCTGGGGGTTGGAAGTAGGCTAACACTGGATCTAGTTCTCATGTGATCACTTCTTTCATTTTTCTGAATGCATCATCATGTTGTAAATCCCCAAACAAACTCAGTAGAATCTTTCAAGAGCTGATGCGAGAGGCGTTTATGACGAGAGGCTGGGAGAAATGGGTGATTTAATGTCCTGTGTAGCTACTTGGGATCCATCTTACTTGCCATGAATACTGAGACAAAGGAGCTTTATGAGTATTGAAACCAGAATTTGTGCATTTAGACATATTTGGGGCGAGCTTTTGGGGAAAATATAAGCACGTGGTTGAATCACAGAGAAGTAGATTATGCTGCAGCAGTTACTATTGACATTTTGATGTGTATATTTTCTGCGAGAAACTGGGTCAACTGCCGTAAAACATCCGCCCTGACAGAGGTGCAAAAAAAAGGCTACAAGAAACCCCTTCAAGACTTCATAGGTTGTGTTTGATACTCTGAGGAGGTTTTGGGTGGAGTATCCCTTTAAATTGATTGCGGTTCTGTGAGAGATGCCACCTAGACTCTAAGCTGTCAGTTCTGTATTTCAGCAATTAAGAGAGTAAAATCTTATTTTTACTGATGAGAACGATGGCCACAAATACAAAAAATGTGACCCAGAATATGAAAAACTGGAATTTCCCTTTAACATATGAAACATACTAAGAACTAATTGCAGTTTTTAACAAGCTGAGAACAAAAACATGACTTATCCATGATGACTGATTAGAGAGTTTCTCTTTTTCCAGGCTGTTACCAGTTACATTTAGTTTTTGTGCAGCACGTGCCATCGAGTTGTCGCACTGCTGATGGCAACGTATCACACTCCCCCCGTGTAGCTTCTCCTTGCCTCACCCACTGCCTTCCCCTCTCCTCAGACAGTACATCATTAGCTGTCTGCTGAACACCTGGAGGCAAAGCCAGCAAGGTAATTATTGAGGGCATAGCCACGTCTGCACGCAACCATCGTTAACCCATCGTACCTCATTTAGAGTGGAGAAAAGACCTTGTTGTTGTAAGGGGAGAAGGAGAGAGAGAGTAGCGGGGATTGGTGATCAGCCCCTGACATGTCAAATATGATACAACAAATGTCTCTGAGTTAGAGCTAATAAAGCCTGGAATTTGCCGTTGCTTTTTCATCAGGCACTGGACCTGGAGCTGTGCCAGGACCAAGGATGAGGGAGGCTTATCCCCTACTCTTAACCGTAAAGGTGCAGGAATTCATGAGCTGGGGAACTCACACAAACATACACACACAATCAGCAATGACTTGTTTGCTTCCCCAGCCACTAAAAACAGGAAAAGATTTTGAGGAGAGCCGGCCTCAGAAATCCTTACTTCTGAGAAACCTCATAAACAACTGCAGAGACCGGATTTAGAGCGTGCGTGTTTATGGGTGTGTTTGTCTATAAGTGTGTGCAAATGCATCTACAGAATGTATGTGTGGGCCTTAAGGTTATGCATTTACATTAGCAATGAAGTATTATATGTGCTCGGTCTCAAGCTGCTTCACTGTCATATGCACAGAATGAATAATAAATATGTGTGTGTTTGTCTGTAGAGTTGAATGTGCTCTCCTGCTGTTATGACACTTCACAATCACCTCAGACGCTGCGTGGGCGGTCGTTTCAGGTGAAAGGATGAAAGCAAAATTCTTCCTTTCTCACCTCAACGCCTCATTTCCTTCTTCTAGTCGTCACTGACGAGCCCGTGCAGTTCACACACGTCATGAACAGGAATGCCTGCATGACAGGCTGCCAGGAAAGTGGAACATTTCCAAAAGTTATTGATAAGCAAGTGAATTGTATTTAAAGTTTTTTGTTTTGTTTATTATTTTAGTTGTTTATATGTTTGCACCAATGGGATCAATCTGAATGTTTGCTGACAAATGTATTTTATTGTCCCTGGCTTGCATTAAGTACACCACAGAGTTAGCTTATGTTCCACTCTTTTATTGCTGCAGAGTAATTTCTTTGTTGATTGTTTTTAAGAAAGAGATTATTTTGTCAGAACTGAACACAGTTCTAAAACTCACGGGATATTTAGCTTCTTTATCTTTGTTAAAATGACAAAAGCACTGAAAATGATAGTATACTAGCTAGAACAGTGTAAATAAGTAGCCTACTCATTAGACAATGGAAAGAAAATCCCAGTATCATGTTTGAGCTTTTAACAAAAAAAAAGCACTTCCTGGTGAGACTAATGGAACAGAGTCTAACTTGGAGAGAAAATGGGGCTTCAGCAGTCGTCGTCTCCTGGGACACTTTAGAACAATATTCAGCAATTTCTGGCTAAGAAAAGAAGGATTAAGGACATTTTCACCATCTTGCTTAATCTCTTATATTGTCAGCATGGGTGTGTGAACATGAGTCATAAACATGAACACACCCACACACACACACACACACACTAAAAACCACACAGACTCGTATCCGTACATTGATCTGTCTTGTACTAATAATAAAATCTGTTGACACATAATTTCAATGTTTTTTAAATGGATGTATGTTCTACGCAATAAAACATGTAGGATTTTAATAGTCGCTTAAGTAAAAACAGACTGATGGGACCAAATAGACTCTTCACATGCTATATACCTGGTTTCATTCTTAAAGGGCCTAAAAACACATTATCTACATCAGCCTCTTTGGTTTTACATGAACACACTATTTTCAGCCCAGTCCAGAGGTTGTTTTTTTTAAAAATATTTTACAGTAGAGGTACAGAAGTGGGTGGTGGCTTAGTTTGTGATATCACACACACCTAAGCACCAATCAGCATTTAGCAACATTTGAATCAGACTGATGACAGTTGGTGGGTTGTTTGATGTTGTTTGATGTTTCCAGGCCACCGTCAAATCGAAACTCCACCACCACCCTGCAACAAATTTGCTGAGATTTTTAGCATTAAAGGCTTAATACGGAGGTGTTTTTCTCAATATCGTTGCTGATTCATTAGTCATGAGTATTTATGGCTATAGAGAAATAGCCCTTTTTAAGATGTAAATGGTAGTTCCTTTAAAATGAGATGTGAGAAATGGGCTACTGCCCAAGTGTGAGAATAGATACTTCATAAAGAAATTATACTGTGAAGTGAAAACTTTCAAATCTTCAACCTTTAAATAGCACACAGTATTGACTTTTCACAGCTTGTGAGACTGCACCTTCTTTCCTGAAATAAAGGAGTGAAACTGCCAAAGAGCAACACTTTGACTGCTGGATTTTATTTAGAGAAAATGCTTTTCATACAATATCACGTCAGCTCCAGTATGCAGTAGCTTCTATAAGTTACAGGTGCATACTATCTGCTAAACCATATCTATCTACCCTGCCAGACTGTCATAATGAATTTATCAATTAGCCCTGGCTGTGTTTGCCCTTGAGGCTGCAGGCCCAGCCCTCACCTTCTCTGCAGTGAACTTTAATCAGTCATCCTGTCAGAAAAGCCAGAAGGGGAGAGCAGCCTAGAAAAGGCCTTTTAAAGGAGTCTGTTAGGTATAAAGAAGATCAGCCTTTAAAATCTAAGTTACAAATATTTCCCCTCATGTACAGTCACAAGTGTTAAGCAAAGCCTGAATTAAACTGATGAGTGAACAAAGATCTTGTTTTGGCAGAGATTAATTTTAATGTGGACCTACATGTAAAATGTAGATGTGGTAAATTTAGAAATCTATTGCACACTGAGGTTACTGTAATGAATGTTTTCAGGCTGGGAAAATCTAAAACACTTTGAATCATCTGATTCATCCTCAGAAGGCCAGTCAAGGACTGGATGATGTGTCTCCCTCCAGAGGAAAGCAGAGGCAGTATACTCACTGAAAACAGCATGCACTTGCATTTAAAGCAAAATAAAAACTTTATTTATATTTTTCTCAGTTGTCTGTTTCTACAATAAAACATCAGGCTTACACAAAATGTTACAGTGCAATGCAATACACATATATACATATTTTTTTCCATTTTGCATTTTAATACTTCTTATGTAGATACTTGTTCTTGTTTATAATCTGCAATACATATTACAAAAAAATACAGTACAAAAACAAATCAATATAGTCATAATGTAAAAGGCATTGAAATGAATATCTGAATGAATGCTTAAAAAGTAACTGCTCTTTGTGATATGATTGCAAACTTAAGGATAAATTCATATTTTCAGCTGGTTTTCTGACAGTGTGTAATCATCAGTGCAAGTGCCTTCTGGCAGAGCACTGAACATTCAAACCAAAACTCAGAGGAAACAGTTAGATGTGTATCAGTGCACACAGGTCATGTTTGCCTGGGAGGGGATCACATTGTGGTTTAACCACTTGAAACTGACAGGCAGCTGGTGGTGGAGCTCAGCCTATATTTTTTGGGTGCCCTGCGAGGCTTGCTAGGAGTTGATGGTGGGGAGGCCACACTCAGATTCCTGACCTTATTAAAACTGTTCCTCAGACTGTCTCTCCTGCTCTCGGAGGTGCTGCTGGTGTCCTTGGATGTGAATGTGTCTGGGTGACAGAGGCCAGACCTCACGCAGCAGCAGCATAGCAGCTCAGCGATAGCCTTCCTCATGTCACTGCTGCCCAGGGCGTAGATGATGGGGTTCACGCCAGAGTTGAGGACAGCCAGGGAGATGCAAAAGTCGGCGCTGAAAAGCAGTGCGCACTGGCGGGAGACACAGAAGAAATCCACCAGTAACAGCAGAAACAGGGGCCCCCAGCAGACCATAAAGACCCCAACAATGGTGATCACAGTTTTAAGCAGTTGTAAGGAGCGCTTGCGGCTGCGGTGGGGACCCAGCTGTGCACTCTGGTGCACGTGGCAGTAGATGGCACTATAGAGCACGCCAATAGCCAGGAGGATGAGGAAGAAGATGATGAGAGAGAAAAAGATGTAGGTCTTGGAGTAGAGAGGGAGGAGGGTGGAGCATCCGTCCAGGCTGCACATACAGTTCCAGCCCAGCAAGGGGAGGAAGCCGATCACAAGCGCCAAAACCCAGCAGAGTGCCACCAAGGCGTAGATCCTGTAGTAGCTCTTCCTGGCTGATTTCTGTGGCAGTGGCTTCATCATAGCGGTGTAACGCTCCACAGCAATCAGCAACAAACTGAATATGGATGCTGCCAGTGCCACAAACAGCATCCCTTCCCTGAAGAGCCACAGAGCAGGGGTGAGGCGAAACGTCTGGCTGCCAGACAAACAGATGTTGACCACGTAGGCAGCGCCGGTGAGAAGGTCACTGAGTGTGATGTTGGCAATGCAGACGTAGACCCAGCGCCGGCTGTGGCGGATGTGGGAGATGACGGCCACCAGCACCAGGAGATTCTCCAGGATGATGAAAATACTGAAGACGAGGAAGACAGCCGTGACGGCACTGATGTGGCTCTGGGCGTTTGAGATGGTCCTGTTCTGCAGGCGGCCGGTGTGGTTGTAATGCCGCAAGATCACATGGCTGATCCCAGTGTCTGTAGTGGTGTTGTCTGATATGGTGGTGTTGTTGGGGTAACTGGGTAAGTGGTACAAGTGGGGGCACGAGGAGGGGGAAGTGAGGGAGGTGAAGACATTCATAGTGATGGCTGAGCGAGGCGAGATCAAGGTTGTCGTGGGAACAGGCTGAACTGAGCTGGTACGAGCTGCACGGGAATTAGTGTGGAACTCCTGTAATCAAACAGGCTATCTTCACACTCTAACCACTGGAGCTCTGCCTGCGCACAACACACACCTGAGAAGACAAAAGAAGAAGAAATAAGAACAATTTCAATACGGCATCCGTGTGAAAATGAAATAAAAGTCAACTTGCTCTCATAACATGGGCTTCCTCATTACGGTGCTTCAGTAAATTTAAAAGGCATCATTTAAATGTCTCCCTTGTGTGTCAACACTCCACCTAGCTGTGGTTAACACAGGATGACAGAGCAGCTGCAGAGGGCATTTAAATCACCACATGGAGGAAATACACACATTGTTTCTTACAAAAATTCTGGAAAATTATTTCTTAAAATTGGCAAAAAACTTGCCAAAAACACTTTTTTTCCCACTAAACTCTTCAGTGATGTCAATCAAAATCAATTAATCCAAAGACAAAAAAAACAACAAACACTTTTTTCCAAGGTTCATATTGTTTAAAATAAAATCTGAGACAAATACATAATTTTCTCCACATCGAGTACTGCATGCTGCACCCTGAGAGTTAAGTGCAAATTCTAAAAATCTATTTAAAACTCAAAATATTTTACATTACATTCAAATTGTATCTTATTATAGATTAATAAAAATCCATTGCATTGCATGAAATTCATTAAACAATTAATCATCGCTGTGGAGTGAAGTGAATGCTGTGCAGTGGAGAGTACTTACTCCGGCTGCTGGTGGTGATGCTGAGTGTGTGACAAGATAGCGTAGTTGCCTCTGACTAGAGATTTTTGCACACATCATGGGGAAGTAAGCCAAATAAGGTTAGGTAGTCGCACACACCACACCCAAAAGACTAAACACACACACACACACACAAACACATTTGATATGCAACAGAGAGATTGCAGTCACTTTTGTTCCATCACCTTGTAAACAGTCAAAGCAACAGTAAGAATTTCAAAGTTGCCTAGGATTATAAAATTTCACCGTCAAATAAATCAAAATTGTTCACAAAGTCTGTTCTAGCTATTTCGCTAAATCCTTTTTATTCTAACTGATATTTAACAATTCTTTTAACACTTGCTGCTCAAGATGCATCAAGATCATCATGTTTTCCCAGGATATCACACAGATTTGACTACAATAACACATCAAATCCTATTGCTCAAGCTGCCCTATAATGACTTATACGGGAAAGGCTCTTTCAAAACATGTGCCACACTATAAGCTAGTTGTAAAAGTAACATGACTCAATGTTTTTAAGGATATGTGGCAACAATCACTTGCACTTACAAGACGGCACCTTGAGTATTACAAAAGCTTCAAATTAGCATTTATTTTTCTCAATATTTCTCAGAAAGTACAAGAGAAAAACAGGAACTCCAATCAGATGGAAATGTGCCCCTCCCTGCAAGATAGAGGGTTTCATACATCTCCTCGCACAGCTGTGGTTGTTGGTTTGGGTAGACAGGCCACTGACACACTATTCACTTCATACTGTTATTGTCAGCATGCATGGCACACTTGACAAACCTTCAACCATGCACCAGCAGACCCAAGCCACATGCTGTAAGACAGTCAGTGGCATTGAGACCACTTTCAAGTCAACCATAAACACATAATATACTGAGAACCAGCATGAAGCATCTTGCAAGTACCAAGAAAGTGATGCCAGACCCCAAAATCATGAAACCACTTTTCAAATATGAACAAAACCAAAACTTGTGGCTGAACACATTTGCCCTTCAGTGTGGAGTTTTCAGAGAGCTATGATTATATATTTCAAGCTTTCAACGAAGTAGGCTCTAATTGTATCAGTGCACTGTAATTATCATTTATCAAATGCTTCAAAAGCATGCTATAAAAGGTCAAATGAAACCTTTGAGAAAATATAAGTATTTCCATGCCAATGCCTCAAACGTTTCTCTAAGAAAATATTGTTTTTCATGCTCATAAAAAAAATATTTTTAAAAGTTGCAAGTGTGTATCATCTGTCATCTTCCATCTATGGCCATCACAAATATGTTTCTGTGGTTTTACTCCAGTTTGCATGTTTTCTCCATTCAAGAGCAAGAAAGAAGAGCACACGCAGAGATTTATACAATACAAAGGTAATATAAATTCGTCCTTGCGTGTAGCACGTGTAGTAGTAATGAGACATGACATTCATGGGCCTCCCCCATGAAATCAAAGTACTTAATTTCTAACACAACTTCTCTTTTTCACTCCTGAGATGTAAAAAGAAAAAAACCCTGACATGCATCAATAAGCCACAGTAAAAATATTGGTATAAGATAGATGCTCCTCTATCTAAATCTAATTATAGTGTGCAGACGCTGTTGCAATTGTAAATAAGATGAGGAAAAAGAAAAATACACAACAAGCTATTGCAACCTGGGGTGTTAACAACACCTACGACAACTGTTGAAAACGCCCTTACTCTGAAAATATAGCTTCAAACAGCACTGTAACCACAAACTACGTATTCTAAACCACAAGTGTGTGTGTGTGTGTTTTAACTGATAAGCAGAGCCAACCCTGTAGACTTTTCCTGTAGTGGCTCTAAAAAAGATTTTGCTTGTACCAGTCAGTCCAGTGTCTTATGCAGACAGGTTAACGGTCTATCACAACTACAGGTATTTACAGTTTCAAATTCAACTGTATTGCATGTCTTTGGACTGTGGGAGGAAACCTATAACAACATGCAAACTCTAAATTTGGTATAGTAACATCTCAAACACGGTCAATGCTGCAGACAGTGTCTTAATGATGTTACTATACCAGAAATGTGAGAGAAATGTGTGAGAAAGCCCTCAAGGCCTTGCTGAATTCACAGTGGATCAGTCCTGAGCACACATAGAAATGACAGAGTCTGTAGGAGTGGACACCATGTCACTGTGTTCTCAGTTTCAGCATTTAGAGTATTACAGAGACATCTTTAGGTACTTCCATTTTTGCCCCTTGTGTTCAGCTTTTGCTAGTTGCTGCTTAGGTGTAAGCACATGGAGAACCTGACCTGAAATTGAGCTACAGTAAAACAAGCTTGATTCATCGAGTTTACCATTTTTACCATTTGAAAAGTTGTCAATTTGATATTGAACATGGCCAAATGCAATGTGATATAATGCACTTTGGAGTCTTACACACGTATAAACTGTTTCTCTTGCTGTCTGTGGGTTTAAACTTTGAATTATTCTGTGGGTTTGCCAAACCTCTAACCAATAATGTCACAACAGGAGCATTTGACAAGTGACTGAAGACACCTGCTGCTCTCACTTGGAATTCTATAACCCTGTTGGACAGTAAAAAAATCGATGCAGCTGAACCATATACTGTTGAACAGAGTGTACCTGTGACATTTGGCCTAGGCGGACTGTCATATTGTAAGCTCTGGCTGTCGCCATCTTGAAGCCTTGTTACTGAAACCGCCACCTGTCACTCAAAGCGGCAATTATGCATAACTTTAAGTCCTGATATAACTTAAAACGGATGAGTTACATAAAAATTCAGCCCCGGTTCAGCTGTCATGAACAGGAAATTGAGCTAAAGAGACTGAACAGTTTTTGGTACCAGGCTGTAAACATGTTTCTCCTGTAAAGTCTGGCCTTTTAATAAGGGGCCTTATGGAGATTGACCCACTGCGGCCTCAAGAGGGCATTTGAGGAACAGCAGTTTATGTTACTTTGTGTTGGCTTTATTTGCATTCATCTTCCTTGTCAAAATCTAATGCCCAGATTTCCCACAATGCAATTTGAGTGCTGACAGTTCAGAGATTTGGGTGTGCTATGCTAGCAGCAGCTAATTTAGCCTCAAGCAGAGATCAAGAGCGAGTATGGAAAGCTCACTTTTCCAAACCCCACCCATTTTTTTTCCAGGCCTCGGTACCAACTGATGCTGACTCAAGTGACATCACTTGAGGTCATTTATTACATTTCGCAGAATGCAGCGCAGCGTGTTCCTTTTCTATGTAAACAGGTCCTCAGTCATTATACTGTACTCATTTTTTTGACCACCTGGGTGCAGAACAATTCCACAACAAGCTGACAGACACAAAGTCCTGACATGTGAATACAAGGGTGGACAAACATGTTGCACAGAGAGCCAACAGTCTGCAGGTTTTTACTGCATGGAGCTTCCACTAACTCATTATCATTGCTTTAAGTAGAGGGCAAAAGCTGGTGGTGGGGGTACCAGTAGGAATGAAAACCTGCAGACTGCTTGCTGTGCCTGTCCCTTTCATACAAACAAACCATGGCCTCCTTACACATCCACATCACCACCAGGCCCTTTCAGATTACACACAGCCTCTTGAGTTATTGTTGATATAAAAATGCTGATTTGTGGAGCTTTAAACATTTAAGGAAACCACCACCCTTCCTGTTGTGGGTCTTTTACATCAACTTCCATTGTGTGTTGTGGTGAAACAACAATAAATATCAGAACTCTGTGATACAGGGAGGATGGAAACAGTTAAAATTGCTTGTGTAAAAATCTGATGGCAATTATGGACAATTTGTTGTGAGAAATGACTTGGTGGTGGTACCAGACCCAAAGAGCCAACCTCATGGTTGACAGGTTGGTGGTCACAATGTAGAGCGTTTTATTATGGCGACACCATCTGGCCAATTGCAAAGTGTGAAACCACCTATTTCTAACAATGTAGAGTTCATCTTTGAGGTAAAGATACTGACACTGCATGGTGTTGAGCAGTCAACATCTAGTGGCCCTAAAGTGGTATTACAGTCATTTTCCTGTCGAGGAGAACATGCAGCATCACTGTGAGACCCCTGGAAGAAGCTGAAAAGCTCATTTACAGTTTTTTCCAATTGTTAACACACTAAAATGACATGCATAGCACAATTATT